TGCATTTCAACATCTAGGCAAATAAGACCTTTGTATTCAATTTCTCATTCAATACATGCCTTAAATTGGGGTAAGTATCAATTTGGTCCTTGAAATTACATAGTGAAATCAATTTCACCCATAAAATTATAAAAATCTCAATTTAGTCCTTGAAATTTGAAATTTTGTTATGTTAATTGCTCCAATTAATTTGTTTTAACTAGTGTTGATATGGCATTGTAGTTAATGCTAATGTGGCACTGATGTGGCAAATTGTAAATTTTGCTTCATTTTTACTTTTAATTTCATTTCAATTTGGTCCCTAAATCCTATTATTCATCATTGACATTTATCTTCTCTTTTCCGACGTTCTTGTCTATACCTCCCTCCTCTTTTTCATCGAACCCTCAATCTCAAACCAAATTAGAAATCTTAACACCAATCTTATTCCCAATATCATTCGTATTTGGATCATTATATTTTTTTAGCAAAATGTTAATAGGGCTGAGGGTTGAAACATTGAGATTCAAAGGTAATAGTGGTATTTTTCTAATCATGCTTTACATAAAAAAATTATTTTGGTGCATTTATGGTCTCTCTTACTAATGTGTGTGGTCTTATTGTTCCTAACTTTGTCTCCATCTTTCTTTTCTCTTGTTTTCTCATGTTTGTGATCCTATTTACATGCATGTAACTCTTTTTTAAGACAAATTTTGCTTTGAAAGTAAAAAAAAAAAAACAACAACAATATGCATATAACAAATAATGGTGGTGACCTCAACTCATGGATCTCCGAGAAAATAAAGACACTTGTCACCTTCGATGATGAAGGTAACAACAAGTGTGTTTAGCCACAATTTAATGATAATGCAACATTTGGTAATGTGTAGTAAGAATTATCCATGGAATTCTTAACTATAAAAAGTTTTAAGAAAGGTGTTAGGGACTACACAATTCAAATAGAAAGATAGATAAAATTGGTGAAAAATGAAACTTATAGAAAGCAAAGTGTAAGAACCCTAGTTACAAGTGTTGTGTTTACTACCCTTGTAACAATGTAACCCACATTTTCCAAAAGTAAAACTTTTGTTGGGGAAGCACACTTGTATTAGATCAAATAAGAATAAAGAAGGTAGCTCACTGATAAGCTTGTAAGAAAATTGAGAAAAAATCCCACACTGAAGGAATGGGAGGCATTAGATTACATTCAAAGAAAGTGAGGTTCATTTGAGTAAAGCAACATTATAGAGGTCAATGAAATAGGTTAGGGCAATAGTAGAAAGGGATGAGAAGAAGTAGTATAGGTTGTTGTGGGATTATAGTGGGGAGCTGAAAAAGAATAACCCTGAATTCACTATGAAGTTGGGTGTGATTTCTATTCCTAATTCTTCACCACAATTTGAAAGATTCTATGTGTGTCTTGATGCATGTAAACCCTGATGAGATAAGGAGAAAGAGAATAAGAAGGCCAAAAAGGAATAGAAGAAATGATGCAAATGAAGAGGCAACCTTAATATAACGAAGAGGAAGTGTCCAAAATTTATGTGCTCTACCTGTGGAGGTGAAAGACACATAAGTAAGGGATGTAAGAAAAAGTAAGAAATTTTAGATTGCATCTCCTGCACCACCTCATGAGAATGCATTTTTTAAAATTGATTTAACTCAATCTTATCCGTATACAAAGACACAAACACAACCCTTTCAGGTTGTGAACTAACTCATGTTACTAATGTTATTTCCAGTTTTAGTTTGTCATTTATTTATATAATATCTTTATTTTTTTTAGGATGATGTTCCTAGTATAATTCCTACAAGTCTTGCATTTAGGCCACCACCTATAAGGCCATAAGTGATGAACACACCAATGCCTCTATCTATTCATCCAAGTATGCATATACCAACTACAACTCCAAGTCTGCATGCACTTACTACAATATCAATGGAGCCATCTAAGCAGCATCTAAGGAACATCATATGGAATGTATAATAATGTATAGGCTTTAGGGTTTATTTTGTATAGGGCTTTATTTTGTTCAATATATAGCCCTTGTGATACCTTTTTTTTTTTGCTGCTAAAAGGTGTTGTTGTTATTTATACTTGTGTTGTAATATTGCTGTTTTCTAGCATAATGACGAATGAAACCAGGGGTGTTTATAAATATTGTTGCTTATATAATGCAACCATGAGAAAGCTTTGGTACTATTTATGTTAAGCTTTTATTGCTATTTTCATATATTCTTTGTTGTTTTTTCATAATGGTTTACAAGAAAATCAATTTACATGCACAACTAATTTCTTAAACATTGTTAATTACATTGGTTTAACATAACATTTTACATTTCTAGCAGCTCAAAATCTTCGTTCACTACTTTCTTAAACTTAAACATATTGAGCTTGATAAATTCATATTTTACTTTACTTTGTAATACATTTTGTATAGAAAATATGATTGAGAAAGCTGGAAAACTTATAAAAATGATAGAATGTTTAATTTCTTTCTAAATAGCTTAGTTGTTTAGATTTTATGAATTTCCTGTATAAAAGTTACTAATTAGAACATATTTTAGAGGAAACTTTGAGCTAAGATCATAAGGCTGGAGGATCAAGAGAAAAAGTATAAGAAAATAGCAATTTTGGACACAGAGCAAAGAATAATGAAGCTAAGTGCTGGGTGTTATCACTTTTTGCAAGGGAAGTGATCACTCCAGAGCTTAAGTTCAGAGGCTATCCTGCACGTTAACACTTTTTCCAACAATAGTAACTACGCCCATGAAGAAAGGCTCTGCGTGATCACTATTACAAATAAAAGTGATTGTTCCAGAACTGGGGTAAGAGGAATCAACTACGCGTGATCACTATTTTGAAGCAAAGTGAACATGCGCAAGTCTGGGTAAAAGAAATAAGCTACGCGTGATAACTATTGTTGAAAAAAGTGAACACGCGCATGATCGAAGGGCAAAACAAGCTATGCGTTGTTACTTTTGTCAATAAAAGTGATAGTTTTAGAGAGCATTCTAGCAAAACAAGCTGCGCGTTTTTACTTTTGTCAATAAAAGTGATCGTTCCAGAGAGCATTCCAGAAAATAAGCTGTGTGTGACTCTTATCGTGAATAAAAGTGAACACGCGTATGATATTTGAGGCAATTCATCTTTGTGTTGCTACTATTGTCTACAAAAGTGGTTGTTCCAGCTGTGAAGATAACCAGAAAGCCTTCTGCGTGGTTACTTTATGTTATAAAAGTAACCACGCTTGAAAGGCGGAAAAATTGTAAATATGAGATTAGCTCATAATTTTTGCATCTTTTCTCAATTTTTTTTTTCATTTTCATGCCATTTTCTTGTCTTGAGAAAGTCTGAGAGAAAGACTGGGGATAAACACCAAGCTTCATATCTTGAGGAATCAAATTGAAGATTGGATTGAAGATGATTCTTTGCTTATCTCCTTCTTCTCTTTCTTTCTCTTTCACTTTGTAATGACTTTCTAAACTCTTTGTATTTAGGAATTTATGGATCTGAAATGGAAGTATGATTTGATTTTAGATCTGAACTTTGAGTATTTGATTGGATTGAGTAGTTAATTCTGTTAATAAAGTAGTTGTTGGATGCAAATTCAATTGACCAAACAAAGATAAGCCTTTATCAATGGAAGTTCAATTTGTTTCTCAGATCTGAATTAATTATCAAGATTATGATTTCTTAGGGATAAGTCATCTTAATCTTGCAATTTTATGGTTCCTAATTCTTAATGCAACACTTAATTGAATCACACCTAAGGGATTAGGGTGGTTGAGTTGAATGTTAGGGTCATTAAGTTAAGGAATTAACCTTTAACTAATAATATGTGAAACTGATTGTCAATCAATTCAAATGCTTGAATGTTCAGAACATGATTGAGTTAATATTGAAATTTTGGTGAAGTAAACCCCTAGCTATGCTTCATACATCTATTTTAATACAAAATTTGTGGCTTTTGTTCTATTATATTTTCTATTTTTCACACTTATTAAATTGCTTCCAAATGTTACAAACTCCATTCAAATTATGTTAGACTCAATTAGTTGTTGAATTGTGAAGTGATAATTGAGAAAACTATTCCCTGAGGACTATACTTGAGACTCAACTTTGATTCCAAAATTTTAGAACTTGCTACAACTATACTAGTACACTTGCTAGTTGAATTTAATTTTATTGCAAATTATGAGAAAGTAACATTTGGCGCCACTGCCAGGGAATAACTAATTTCAATATCATTAGTAACGAGAAGATAACTAGGTTGAGCAATTGTTTTCTTATTTTTTCTGCAATATCAGAATTGTATTCAATTTTTTTTGTTGTACATTTTTTGTTGATAGAAATTCTGCATTGTTATATTGTAGATTTTTGATTCTTTACTTTTTCTTACTTTTATCTAATCTTGGCTGTATATACGAGGCAAAAATAAAAATAAGGCTACTCTTGTCTTTGACCCTGTTATAGATAAAATCTTAAGAAGATTAAGAAAAGAGGTTAGAGCAGAGAGTTCTTTAGGAGGAGATAGTGAACTAGAAGCTACACATTCTTTAAAAAGATTCATAGATGTTCAATATACTCCGCCTCCATAGAAAACACCTCTAGAATAGACACCTCAGAAATTAAAATGGCAGAACAAAATAGAATGAGAAGATTAGGAGATTATGCAATACCAAATATGCAAGGTTATAACTCTTCAATAGTTAGACCTACCATCCAAGCTAATTATTTTGAAATCAAACCAGCCTTGCTCCACTTAGTACAACAGGACCAATTTTCTGGTGGAATTTCTGATGATCTTAACTTGCATATCTCTAATTTTCTATAGTTATGTGACATAATAAGGATGAATGGAGTAAGTGAAGATGCTATAAGATTAAGGCTAATCTCATTCTCTTTGAGAGATAAGGCCAAGTGTTGGTTGCAAGCACAACCTCAAGGGAGTATCACAACATAGACAGATCTTGTGAATAAATTCTTAACTAAATATTTTCCTCCATCAAAGGCTGCCAAGCTGAGAGGAGAAATCACATCTTTTATGCAGCAAAAAGTAGAATCACTTTATGAAACTTGGGAAAGGTACAAAGAACCTTTGAGAAAATGTTCACACCACTGTATTCCAGAGTGGATGCAGCTAGAAACCTTCTACAATGGGATGAATGTTGTAATCAGAACCATGGTAGATGCAGCTGCAGGAGGTTCCTTAAACATTAAATCTTTAGAAGAGGTTCAAAGAATTATTGAGATGATGACTTCCTCTATGTATCAGAATTCTAACTCAAGATATTCTGGAAGAAATAATGGATATGAAGCTAAAACTATAGACTTTTCTTGCACAAAACCAACTGCAAAATCAATTATTTTTTGAGCAAATTGTAGCTTTAACTCAGCAGTTCAGCAGCTTACAAGCTGAAAATATTTTAAACACTTAGCAGATCTGTGATTTTTGTGGAGGCAACCATGACAGTGGTGCATGTGATGTACTTGCACCAAAACCACAAGAGCAGGTCAACTACATGGGAAATTATCAAAGACAACAACAATATTTTCCTAAGCAATCGTTTCCTCTTGGTTTTCAATATCCAACCAATATAAGTCAACAATTTTATAAATAGAATCCTCAAAACTCAGATCAGTAACTTACAAGCTGGAAATATTGCAAACACTCAACTAATCAGTGATTTTTGTGAAGCCAACCATGCTAATGGTGCGTGTGATATATTTGCACCAGAACCACAAGAGCAGGTCAACTACGTGTGAAATTATCAAAGACAACAACTGTCTTTTTCTCAGCAATCCTTTCCTCCTGGTTTTCAATATCCAACCAGTAGAAGTCAACAATTTTACAAATAAAACCTTCAAAACTCAGTTGTGAAAATTACTAATTTATCTATTCCTTTTTCAAGTGCAGGAACTTTATAACAACAACAATTTTTTCAAGGAAATTCTTCTGTTCAACCTTAAAGAACTCAAAATTCTCCAAAACCTATGAGTGAAATAATGAATGAGATGGAATAGACTATGCTGCAGTTTATGAGAGTCACTTAAGCTAGCTTCAAAAATCAAGAAGCCTCCATGAAGAAGCTAGAAACTCAGATTGGGTAGTTAGCTGAACAATTAACAAATAGAGATAAGAAGAGATTCTCTAACAACATAGTGATTAATCCTAAAGTGCAGTGCCAAGCCATAACAACAAGAAATGGAGCTGTGGTAGCTAGCCCAAAGCCTATAGAAAAAAGAGTTAACAGTCCAACAGAGGAAGGAAGAGTAGAGGGAGATTTATAGCAAGGGAATTTCAAATTGTTAAAAAGAGAACATTAAGAAAATGAAGCTTTTTTTAATTCTGAGAGAAAAATGAAGAAGCAATTTTTTGAGGAAGATTGTAGACCAGTTGACACAGAAAAATACAAAAGGCTACCCTATTCTCAAAGAGTGCAGAATCCTAAACAAGAAGAGCAATTTGAGAGATTTTTAAATGTATTTAAGAAGCTGCAGATTAATATTCCTTTTGCGAAAGCATTGGAACAAATGTCATCTTATGCCAAGTTCATGAAGGAGCTACTATCTAAGAAAAGGAAGTTGGAACATGACAAGACAGTACCATTAACTAAACAATGCAGTGTTATTCTTAAAAGAAAACTCCCTCAAAAGCTCAAGGATTTAGAATCTTTCAGCATTCCTTGTGAAATTGGAAAATGCACTGTGGAAAAAGCTTTATATGATCTAAGGGCAAGCATTAATCTCATGCCTCTAGCTATCATAAGGAAGTTGGGAATAAAAGAAGTGAAACCAACCAACATTACACTACAATTAGCTGATAGATCTTATATATATCCATATGGAGTTGTAGAAGACTTGTTAGTTAAGATTGACAAATTTATTTTGCTTGCAGATTTTGTTATTTTTGATATGGAAGTGGATACGAACATACTATTAATTCTGAGTAGACCATTTCTTGCAACTGGAAGAGCTCTTATTGATGTGAGCTCATGCTTAAACTACAAGATGAAAAGGTGATATTTATTGTTTTTGAAGCACTCAAGTATCCTAGCGATGATAATATGTGTATGAGAGTTGATGTACTGGATTTTCTTGTTACTCCTTATCATTTTGATAAATTTGATGAAGTTTCTATGTTGAGAGAAACTATAGTTTTAGGTAGTTTCCAATCTGTTAGGAACAAAGAAGAACATCTCATGGAGTATATGTAGTAATTGGAAGCCTTGCCAGTTTTGGCCCTTATAGAAAAACTAGTAAAAGAAGAACTGAAAAAGGAAGTGAAAGAAGAAAATACTTAGAATTTAGAACTCAAACAGTTACCTTCTTACCTGAGATATATATTTCTGAACCAAAATTATGAAAATTTAGTCATTATTAGCAATGAACTCAGGGAGGAAGAGGAGGAGAAGTTATTGAGGATTTTGAGAGCACACAAGTTAGCAATAGGATAAAGTATATCGAATTTGAAAGGCATCAACCCAACTTTTTGTAAACATTGAATTTTGTTTGAGGAGAACTTTAAACCTATTGTGTAGCCTCAAAGAAGACTGAATCTTTCCATGAAAGAGGTGGTAAGAAAAAAGGTTATGAAATTATTGGATGCTGAAATTATATATCCCATTTCAAACATTAGTTGGGTTAGTCTTGTCCAAGTGGTACCTAAGAAAGGGAGAATGGTTGTGGTACCAAATGAGAAGAATCAATTAATTCCTACAAGAACCGTTACGGGCTGGAAGATGTGTATAGATTATAGGAGATTGAATGAAGTAACCAGAAAAGACCACTTTCCACTACTTTTTGCAAATCAAATGTTAGAAAGGTTAGCTGGTCATGCATTATATTGCTTTTAGATGGATATTCTAGTTATAACCAAATTGCTGTCGATCTAATTGACTAAGAAAAATTGCATTCACTTGTCCATTTGGGATATTTGCATATAGAAGGATGCCCTTTGGGCTTTGCAATGCTCCAGCCACATTTAAAAGGTGTATGCTTTCCATTTTTTCTGATTTAGTTGAGAAAATCATTGAAGTATTCATGGATGATATTTTTGTATTTGAAGATTCATTTAATGATTTCTTATCTAATTTGTCTACTATTTTGCAGAGGTGTCAAGACACTAATTTGGTGTTGAATTGAGAAAAATGTCACTTTATGGTTCAAGAAAGCATAGTGCTTAGCCATAAGATTTCCGTGAAAGGGATGGAGGTTGACCAAGCTAAAATATAAGTGATTAGTAAATTACCTCCACCCGTGAATGTAAAAGGAATTAGGAATTTCTTAGGCCATGCAGGATTCTGTAGGAGGTTTATTAAGGATTTTTCTAAAATTGCTAAACCTGTTAGTGACTTACTTGTGAAAGATGCAGAATTTATATTTGATGAATCATGTTTGCATGCTTTCTCTACTTTAAAACGAAATTTGATTTCTACTCTAATACTTGTGAAACCTGATTGGACTCTACCTTTTGAGTTAATATGTGATGCAAGTGATAATGCAGTAGGTGTTGTATTAGGACAGAAAAAAGATAAAAAGCTGCATGTGATTTACTATGCTAGTAAGGTTCTAAATTTTGCACAAATTAACTACACAACCACTGAAAAAGAACTGCTAATTATAGTAGGTGCTTTCGTTAAGTTCATATCTTATTTGATAGGTTCTAAGGTTATAGTATATACTAACCATGCTACTTTAAAATATTTGCTTTCTAAATAGGATGCTAAACCAAGACTGTTAAGATGGATTCTTCTGCTCAAAGAATTTGAATTGGAAATCAAAGATAAGAAAGGGAAAGATAATGGTGTTGTAGACCATCTATCTAGTATACTTTTAGAAACTTTAAAGTCTGATTGCTTTGACATTAATGAGGAATTTCTTGATGAAAAACTGCTAGCTATGGAAGAATTACCTTGATTTGCTAATATAGCAAACTTTAAGGCCACTCAGCACATCCCAAAGAGAATGAGTTGGCAAAAAAGAAAGAAATTCCTTCATGACAGAAAATTCTACATTTAGGAGATCCTCATTTTTTCAAAATTAGAGTAAATGATCTGTTGAGAATATGCATTCCACAATAAGAGTAAGTTGATATCTTGTGGCACTGCCATAATTCAGATTATGGAGGCCATCATGAAAGTTCTAGGACTGCTAGTAAGGTCTTACAAGCAGGTTTCTTTTGGCCTACATTGTTCAAAGATACAAAAACTTATGTAGAAAGCTATGACAAATGTCAAAGGAAACATCTCTAAAAGACATGAAATGCCTTTGAACAACATTTTAGAGGTGGAGTTATTTGATGTTTGAGGGATAGATTTTATGGGACCTTTTCCAACTTATTTTGCTCACGAATACATATTAGTAGTAGTGGATTATGTGTCTAAGTGGGTGGAAGCTATACCAACCAGGACAAATGAAGCTAAAATTGTGATTTCATTTATAAAGAACATATTTGCAAGATTTAGAGTACTCAGAATTTTGATAAGTGATGGAGGATCCCATTTCTACAATAAATATCTTGAATCTGTTCTAGAAAAGTATGGAGTTAAACACAGAATAACAACTCCTTACCATCTTCAAACCTGTGGACAAGTTGAAATTTCCAATAGAAAAATCAAGAAAATTTTGAAAAAAGTGGTCAATAGCTGAAGGAAGGATTGGTCAAGGAAACTTGATGACAATTTGTGGGCATATAGGACTGCATTCAAAACACCAATTGGTATGTCACCATACCAACTAATGTTTGGAAAGACATGTCATCTTCCTGTATAACTTGAACAAAAGGCATATTGGGCTACCAAATGGTTAAATTTTGATTTGACTAGTGCTGGAGAAAAAAGGATACTTCAATTACATGAGCTGGAGGAATTTAGACAAGCTGCATATGAGAATGTAAAACTATATAAAGAAAGGACTAAAATAATTCATGATAGATTCATTATGCAAAGAGAGTTCAAACCAGGATAGCTTGTTCTATTATTTAACTCAAGACTAAGGCTAGTTATAGGAAAGCTTAAGTCAAAATGGTCCAGACCTTTCATGGTAAAAGAAATTTCTCCTTTTGGTGCAGTGTTAATTGAAGACCAGAAGGAAGGGAGAGAATTTAAAGTCAATGGCCAAAGGCTAAAAATCTATCAATGAGAAGAAGTCAACAAAAACAATTTTTGTATCAAATTGGTTTCTTAGCAGTGAGAAACATGTAATGTCAAGCTAGTGACATTAAAAGAGCGCTTTGTGAGAGACAACTCATATTTCTGAACCTTTTTCATCACTTTTGATTTTGATTCTATATAACTTTAAATTTTTATCTCTTTTAATTATGCATAATTTTGTATTTTGATGTGAATATATTTGAACAATCTAAGTTTTGTGTTGTAGGTGTTATGTTGAAAGGATTATGAGTAAATAAGTGAGGTATGTGAGCTTTAAACAGTTTTGATAAATGAAAGTGACCACTATGTTTCAGTAAATGAGCCACGTAGAGACCTAGAAAAGAAGTTGCTTTCTGGAATAATCACTTTGCTTAAAAAAAGTGATCATGCAGAGGATCAAGAATGGAACTTCTCTATGGAACAATCACTTTTCTTGGATAAAGTGATCATGCGCAGGCATAATTGAGGTAAGAGCTTGCGTGTTACTCCTTTGGTTAGAAAAAGTAGTCACACGCATGAGTAATAAGACATTAAGGGTTACGCGTTATTACTTTCTTTGAAAATAGTAGTCACGCACAAGGCATTATCACTTTTCTCAAAAATAGTGAGAACGTGCACTCAAATTAAAAGCCAAAGAGGGACTTGCTCTCTGGAACGTTCATTACGATTGAAAATAGTGAACACGCACATCATATTACCCCTTAGAACGCTCACTTTTCCTTTTAAAAGTGGTCACATGCATTCGTGTGGCTATATAATTAGAAAAGAGTGATCACGCACACACCTTTACAACCCTGAACTCATATTTTCCTCTTAATTCCCATTTGAAAAATTCTTCCCCTTTGATTCTTTACTTCTGCACATTGATCAAGTGAATCTCTGTCTCTGGCAAGTTTAGATTTGCACTCTCTATACTTCTATTCCAAGTAATTTCTTTCCCATTGCTTCAATCTATGATAGGGTTCTTTGTGGGTAGATTTTTGGGAAAAATCTGAATATGGAAATTGATAAAAAAATTTCTGAGTTGGTTGATTTGAATATTCAATTAAGGGACAATGTGGCTAGATTCTTATTTAATTTGATAGTTTCAGTTGAAGATTCATAGCTACATTATGAATAAATGCATGAATAATCCTTTTGCTGTTAGGCTTGTGATTTATTATTGAGTAATCTATAATATTTTACTTGTTAAATGTTAATTGAAGGATTAATTGGTATTGGAATAGATTTAGATGGAGTTTTTAAAAACAAAAAGTGAACAGTACCGTATGAACAGTGTCAATGAACAATAAAACTGCTTGTGAACAGTAAAACTGTGTACAAACTGCGTATGAACAGTACAAACCGTGTATGAACAGTAAAAAACTGCGTATGTACAGTGACTGCTGACGTCATTAGTGACATCATCATGACGTCATGGCTACGTCACATACGCGTACAGTGCATGTATAGTATGCGTGTACAGTATTTTTCGGCGTGAATAGTGCCCTGAATAGTGTTTCTGGCATGAACAGCAAGGCGGTGAACAGTGATTCCAGCGATGAACAGTAATTTTTGAAAATTTTCTATAAAAAGGGGGCTTCACACGAAATTTTCATTTCTTCATTCCTCTCCAAGGTTCTCAAAGGTTCTAAGGCCGTATACTACCATTTTCTCTCATATTAAACCCTCCTAAACTTAGATTTCTTGCCAGATCTGAGATTCTACGTCTATTCTGAGGGATTTGAAGTAAGTTTCTTTAAGTTTGAAGCTAGATTTACCGTTTGTTTCTCTTCTTCTTCTCTTTCTCATAGAAGTTCATAGTGTTCTTAGGAGAAACTCCGTTCTAAAGCCAAATCTTCGGTGAATCTTACTTAAAACAAGTAATAT